TTTGGTATTTAAATGTGCAATCGGATCCGGCAGGGAGTGTGCTAATTTTAAACGCGTAGCATCAAAGAACACGAAGCAAGATCAACCGACTAGGGTCGTAGGCAGCAAGAGAACAAAAACAAGTTGGTTCGCATCAGAGAAGACAACCAGTGCGCGCTAAGCACGTCCAATTAGCGCCTTCTGATAACTTCAGAGCGTAACGCCAGCGAACGCTTGATGATCGTCAAGCATAAGTGACGCCAAGGGCGGTGGCCTGTTTAAATGGTCTTCAAGCAGCTACTAGCAGGGGGACAATACAATACTTCGTTAAGTCTGGTCTTGAATGAGTCATGGATTATTTCACATGCAAATGATCGGAGATTGGCATGGCCAGTGGCACTTCAGTGGAATTGCAGTATACGTGCGAACAACGTGCTTCGAACAGATTGTAGAGTCATGCTAGCTTTTAAGCCTCTTAGCTTAATAAAAAGCTTTGCTACGCCTTTTTACCAGCATTTTTCATTAGCATGTTTTGTCAGGTCACATTAGACTTAACCTTGTTAATGGAAGATGAACAATTGTTTCGATTGTTGAGTTATTCATGCGCAGTGACGACATGCAGCGTGGAAACGACATCGGTTTCTCGTATATAGCGAAGAAAGGTTTCCCATGTTTTGGTTTGCGTTTTGTTTCCAGGGAAATTGTTTGAAGTGAAACTAAATCGAGTACACAGCATGCGACGTAACCTTGTTCTTCGCGCAGATCCACTGACGCTGCAATCCTTAGTCTCTCAGCAGAGATTTGTCGCTTAGACATTTCTGGCTTAAAGGAATGCAATTATGTCTCAACCACGACTTCTGGTACTTATTAGTCCACCGTTTCCAGGCTCATTGCAGACCTTCACATTCATCGCACATTCATCGTCTTCACGTCACTATGTTTTAATTGGGCTTTGCTCAGTCGGTGGAGGGTCCTACTCAGTACCGAGATGTCTCCGGTTCGAGCTCCGGTCGGGTCACTGGCCTTTATTACTTTTGAGGTTGATCGATTAGGACCTCTTTGTGGGAAGGAATCAGGAAATTCTTCATTACATGGTAGTTGTTCACTCTGCCTTTATACTAAGGCACTTCTGCGCCCCCAAAATTGACTTCTGTAAGGAAACGCCTCATAAAGTGTACGTAAGACCGACAGTTACATTCCCTGCTGTTGTACCGGTGCAGATACACCGAATCATAGTTTGCTGTGGCGTCGACGTCACACCTCGGTCATCGCCCAGTTTACGTCATCGTCATTCGAGTGTGCACAGTAGAAGGCCCGTTGTGCCATCGATTTATTACCTCTGGTGATGATGGCTTTAAACTGTTCATAATCGGTTGATATTCTTAGGCAGGTCCTTTAGTTCCTTCGTCCCATGGTCTGTCTCTGGGTTGCCATCATCACTGCGACGGCGGGTCAGTTTACCGGCAAACCCTTGTATTGAGGAAGTTAATATGGTAGGTAGGATTGCAGTTAGACTATATCTTTCTGCAGTTTAAATAATTTCTATTTTCTCCTGCACATGACTTTGAAATATTGTTAAATATTAGTGCGGTTTTTTAGTATTATCGCAGTCATTCTTGATCGGTTGAATCGTGCATTGTTTGTTTACCGTTTTTTATTGCTTGTTTAAATACCTTTTTCCAAGGACAGCAGATCTGTGAATGAATCCTATTTGTAATCTTTTTCAAGGACCCAGAATTGTAGGTGCTGCATTGTGGTTTTATGAGGAAAAATTTAACCTGTTGTGTAACTCGAACCTCAGCGTCCACCTTGCTTACTGCACTCGGAAATCACAGTATATTTGTACGCTAGAGTATGTCAGAGAAAACGTGACTCCAACGTGCGAACCTGTTTTTATGCTTATATGTTACAATATAAGAGTATCGGCTCCTAAAACTTCGTTGTGAAGTGATGAGCACGAGATAGTTCTAACTTGCAAAATGATGTGAGATGCATCCGGCTCTGCAAGTGCGCAAATACCATCTAGCTGTGGACTGCTTAAATGGCACCTATTGGCAAATAGAAGCCATACGGTGGTTCAATACTCCTTAAAATCTGACCTTGAACAAGTTATGCGTTATGAGTTATGCAGCAGTCAAGTGCAAGTAACATGCTGGGACGAATCACGAAGCGTGTGATCTCTTAGGTCTCAAAAGATAGGTCTTAAATCTCGTGTGATATCTTAGGTCTTACGCCTCCTGTGATCTCTTAGGTGGTGGCCCTAAAAAATTTTTATGTGTTCTGGAAAGCTGGGCTGACAACGTAATGGTGGTCAAAGGATGGCATGTCTCATTACGCTTACATACACATTCGCCTACGAATTATGTTTTGACATTTGTCCTTGACGAAAGGACTGGAAGCTTGGTTTGTATTTGTACCTGAAGAAGCATATTGAGCAGGGTTACTAGGCCGGACTTCTTGTTCCTGAATATGTAAGTTAGATGATCGTTGGTACGTTTTTGCGACCCAATCTGTTTTTCCCATCAATCCATCATACATTAAGTTTTTTCATCCCTGTCACTCAGAGTGTTGTTTTCCATACGCAAAGTAGATGAAACGAAGAAATGCAGTTCTTGACTCTTTCTTTCAGCAGTAATGCAAAAGGTGCCACCCCGCCTCAATATTCCTTAAGTTTTTAGTCATTGTGTCATTCTTGTGAACACCTCAAAAACTACGGATAGTATTGACCCAGTGTATAACGTTGCCTGCCTTCGATATTGATCTTTGCCCCTTCTTTAAGCTTCAGGTTAAGGACGCTCCAGTATACTCTGCAGAGTACTGTTCTTCTAGGAATACTCGAAACGGAGGTGACGCGAAGTAGCACGTCATCCCGTTTGCCATCGAACCGTTGTATCACTGGTACCTTCTTATTGAAATTGCCAGCGTACTGTCGTCAGTGGACGGTTGTTTGGGTTTCAGCCGAAACGTTAGCGAGTAGTTTATAATTAACTTGTTATGTGCAGAACTGTTTTGAATTCTTTCTTAATTGTTGTTTACTGGTTTGTGTTGAGCGTTAGCTGCGGAAATTTTTTCTACATTTTCATACTGATATTACGGGAAGATTTAAATCTGCGCTTTTTAGAGATTTTGCAGAAGTGCGCATTCCAAGCTAATTAGCTTCTCTGCTTGTTACGTAGTAAGGTTGCACCAGTGAGTTTAGAAATCTTATGTGGTTTAGTAAGTTGTGCTGATACTAATTTTACTTTCGTTATATTTAAACCTTGCAGTTCCTACCGTCATTTTTTAGCTGAGCCCCGCGATTCATATTAGAATGTTGTTTCGAATGTTGCTCTTAGCTTAAGACGCCGCTGCAAATTCAATATCATTTTTCTGCCACTTATAACAGTGTCGCGGAATTTCATCCTCTGTGGTGACTGTTTTGAGGCCAGTGTTTATCAGAGGTCAGCGAGTGGTTGTTCGGATCGTTTAACTATGTGTTACCTATTTTTATTTCAATATTTATCCTCATATATGTCCGAACGTTTGCAGCCGACTAACTGTCTGCATCAATGCTCTAATGCTTTCATGCTGTTTCCTCTTCTGGTTCATGTGCTCTCTGATAGCGAAATGTACGTAAAAGTTTTTCTGATAAGTACGGAGTTCCAGTGAGCAGTGAAGGAAGGCTTGGGGGAAGAAATGTTTCTGTTTCGGCTACGATTGAATCAACCTGATTGTTGGTGTTGTCTGTTCTGCAAGTGACACTGACTGTTTTAGATGATGAGGATGAACTTGATTTGCTCAAGGCCGTCAAAGCCAACCTGGATCCGAACGTGTATCAGGCGAAGGGCACGGAGAATATGCCGGCGTTCGGTTTTCGCCCAGGCGCGCAGGTCGTCGCGCCGTACCGCTTTCACATACCGAAGAAGATGTTCAGAGATTTCGCTATTTTGATGACCATCAAACCGGAAGAGGACACCGACGGATACCTTTTCGCGGTCGTCAACTCGTTCGACACCGTCGTCGAGCTGGGCGTTCTTTTAGAGGGCGTCAACGACCGCAAGGTGAACATTTCGCTGGTGTACAGTGACCACAAAAAGGACAAGGAGTCGCGAGCCGTCGCCTCTTTTCTCATTCCTCGCGTCACCGGCAAATGGTCGCAGCTGGCGTTCCGGGTCGAGGGTAATGAGGTGACGCTGTTCCTGAACTGCCAGAAGTTCGGCACGCAAAGTGTGCAGCGCAAGCCGAAGCAACTGCACTTCGACGACGCGTCCAAGTTGTACATTGCGCAGGCGGGTGCTATCATAAATAGGAACTTCGTGGTGAGTTTCGCTTAACGCCTTCTGTCGTCTTCCTTCCAGAAACGTGTCGTTCGCCGAGGCTACTCCGTCGGACGCTGGCCTGGCTCTTCGCGTCACGCAAGCCGATCGAGTCTATATGTGCCTGTTGACGTTTATGTCGATGCTTCGACAGGCGACGCAGCTTTTCATGTTTCATTTTTCGCACCCATAGTCGAAGAGGCGTTTTTTTCCGCTACAGTGACAGCTGCCGATAATCTTTCATGCCTTCATCGCTGATCTGTTTCGTTGAGCCGATCGGATGTCATGATATATGATATTCGGTGCAGTCGACCACTTTGACTGCCTTCTCCTTTTTACTCGATTGATCTGTTACCACAGTAGGCGAGGCGCTACCATCACCTTCATGTTTTTGTTACCACCTCCCATTAACCGCTGTGCGTACCATCCACACCCTCCTCGCACTCCAGCCACTGGAGTCCGGCCGGTTCCTCCTGGACTCATGCTGACCGACTTCCTCCGCATCGCCTTCGCCGTAATGCGTACGGTTTTAGTAGTCTTCAGAAACAGCTGTTTTCGAACAATTATTAAGTAGGCTTTAGTGTTTTTAAAGAAACGAGCAATGATTATGCGTTCAAGGCTTATCTGCGCTTATGTTTGATACTTCGCCTCACTGGTGCTTATCAACTTCAGACGGATACTCGAGTTGTGATGATCGGCTGTCGTCGTTTGTCTGTGACGAACTCACGTTGCCGACAGACACCCTTCGCCCTGCGGTCTCACGGTAGTCGGGCGTCGGACTCCAAGCGTGTTTGCCGCCGTCTCCTCTGACGCAAGCTTTCCGAAAAATTAAATTCCATACTTCGTGACCTCTGAAATTTTGTTCAGCCGCGCGAGATACTTCGTTCCTAACTGCGTTCATTCTTTCGCACTTGATGAATAGCTGCGCAGGGCACTGTCAGAGAAGGGACTTTTTGTAACAGTTGGGCAAGTTCGGCCCTGCTGACGACGTTCAAAGAATTTCCTCTTCCTTTTTGTTCTTCAACCGCCATAGCTAGAACTACCAGTCACCTCCTCACTCAATTTTCTCCGCATCAGCGCATTCCTGGTTGCGGTAGAACGCCGCCTGAAAAACCAATTCCGCGTTCGTCAAAGCATTTTCTTTCATTTTCCGCGGCCAGTTCCTCACCTTGGAGTACTTTTCCTTCTCCGCCATAGCAACACGAAAGTTAGAAAGTAGCCGGCGATGTGATGCTTTCAGTTCCATTACAGTCGATGTAGGAAGTCGCGATGCGGCAAACCATTTGTCTATTGTGAATTGCAAATGTACCGATTCCTCTCTAGTGCACATCTGAAAACCTGCCTTGGTCCTCACGAGAAAGTAACAGCTGCAGAGGATCACAGGGTTGCGTAATGGCGAAAGACGGCTCCTTATATTAAATAAACAGCTAATATGGAGGTGATGAGAAGGGGTCAGAGAGGCTAAAGGTTATAAATAGACTGAAATAGTCAACTGAGGTATGACTGAGTTAAGTGCCTGCTCAGAGAAACTGAGTTGAAAAACAGTTGCACATACGAGTAAACTAGTGATGCTTTATCATGAAAACGATGCCATGGAGAATAAGAGCCGCTGCCACTGATTCTGAAACGTCTTCTGTAGTCACAAGATTAGTAGCAGACTTGAAATCTTGTTGTTGCATAAAACGGCGGTTTAGTTCTATTTTTATTTTTAACCTAGTACTGCCGCCTCCTGCTGAATAGCGTCAGATTATCAAAATGTATCTTAGGGCATATTGGACATCATTGTTTAAAACTTCCCCATAGTTTGTATTTCAGTAAGATTTTCTTTACGTACATTACTGTGTACTATGAATATTTAGCTAGTTGAAATGGCAAAAACATGTTTTGTTCATTTGTTGAATTTAGTCCCTTTGATTTCCCGTTTTCAAAGTAGAAGGTCTAGACGAACACCGGGGGCACAAGGATGACCACAGCAAATTAAAGTAATGATGAAAATAGTGTTGGTCAACTGTTTGGGATTGACCTTGAAACTGCGATTACCGTAGATTTTGCAGAGAACAAGTCGTACGGTAATGACGCTGTGAAACCATGTTCTCTATTCATGCTTTCTATTTCTTGAAACGAAGACGAAAATGAACATCGACAAATGACGGAAGTCTATTTGAACTGTCTCTCTTTAGAAACCGAGCCTTCCTGTTTGTAAGCTACTATCTAGAGAGGTAATCTATCCATACTAACAGACTGAAATCAGTTTGCAATTCAGTCGGCACCCGCATGAACTGAAACTGGTTTGTTGTTCGTTCAAGCCTATAATACCACGGTTTTACTGAATCGGCGCTAAACCTATCTCTATACCTAAACATCCGCACTGTCCCCTGCCGATTTAAGTTTATATCATCACAGGTTCGGCTGAGGCATAGGTGGTAATGTGACTGAAGCTATATATTTTCGGTGTGGACGGAACAGCGAATTGTCGGTCTGATCAGGACATGCATTCATTGAAGAACATTACGTTTTTGACGCCATAATTGGTCCGATGCTATTCGAGAACAGCACGTTTTGAAAATGAAGGAAATCGAAGTCTATGGCGAAGTCTTGGCGAGTTGTATTCGATCATCAGTGAATCAACTTAGACTGACGATGATCGGTTAGGCCAAAATTTTGCACGACTCGTCTAAAAATGGAATTCAGGTGGATAAACCGGAAAGGAGGAATGAAACTGAGCAAACGGCGGCTCAGTAATGTGAAGTTCGCTTACAACATTGCTTGGCGTCGGTAGAGAGTACGACCGAACTTGAAATGGTCGGGAATGCTAGAACTAGGAAATGCTCGGGAACTTGGCGAAGAAAGCTTCACGGTCGGATTAAAATGCAGTTAATTATAAATACAGTAATGCAGTCATATAGATTGCAGGAGACATATAACGTTTAGTGGAAAAGGTAAAGAAGGAATGGAACGTTACGTTTGTTTGAATCATGTTCAGAAGGACGAACCGAAATCTTGCGCAACGAAAAGTAAGCTTGCGGACGCTTTACTTCACCAAGAATACCTTACTTGGAAAGATTGTCATATCAACACGAGTCTGCTTTTTCGACACAGGCGTATTGTTTGGTACGGCTGTTTAGCGTGACCGCTGACGAAAGAAGAGGAACGTCACTTGTCTGTTATCGAAACGGTCGTGGAACGAATGGGGGAACGTAAGTCCGGGCCATGTCCCCTATGGAGATATCAGACAGAAAGTCAAGGTGAAAGATATCGTGGAAAACAATATGGGGGAAAATGCGATTGGCTGGACACGTGGCTCGCTTTGCTGACGACTTAATGGACAGTTGCTGTCGTCAGGATTGCGAAAAGCCGCTGGTCGCCCTGCGTAAAGATGGGACACTTTAATCTCTGACTTGCAAGGGCCACTATGGCAAAGAAAGGAGGCACGATCAGCAGAAGAACGAAGGAGGTTGTGGGATCAGCGCGATTTTTCTGACTGCTGAATGCTGATCAACAGAAGAAATGTTAAGATGGGGATTACTGATAGGAAGCCCAAACGAGAATGATCGAAAAGTTCTTGTTCGCGCTGGATGATGCGTTTCCTTGCCGATGTCGGCAAAATTATAATCGTGCCGATAATCGCTGACGAAACGCGTCGACTGTAAGGAATACCTGGCCATCTTTTCTCCTCAGCGTATTTTAACCTTACTTTGTAATACTTTGAAATGTCTGGAATACGGATCTTAGGCGTTCGGTAGTTGCGGTCGCTCCATTTGGACGTGCGGACCACCAGCGTGTAAAATTAGATTTAAATGAGAGTGTTCCAGTTGTTTCAGATTTGCCTTCCTCTCCTAAGAAATGCATGCATTTCGTGAAAACAGGCTCTCGAAAGCTTATCTGTACAACAGGAAACTATGTAATTAATCGGTTGCATCATTTGGATTTGCATTTCATTGGCTTCCCTGAACTGGTTATGGTATCCGAACCTCTTAATTGTCCTTTCCTATGTGATGGCATATCCTAGTAATCTTTCGGTTGTTCTTTTCGTCGTATCTGTTCGCTGAATACCACGTTTCTTACCCCTGTCTTATAACGCATGTTGACACATCTTTTCAACGCTTTGGCAACATTGTCGAAAATTTTCATTGCGCCTTCGACGGTATATATAAGCAGCCTTCCCTCATAGTCCTATTATCACTGACATGTTCAGAGGTTCTGCCTTTGGTCCAGTTTGCCTTAGAGTCGTAACATCAGTCTTTTGCACTCCCATTATTTCGTTATTCGATCATTGCAGATACTCGTTGCCAGGCATGCATTTTATACACAACATCTTTAGTTTATTATTTCATACCGACTCAACGTGTCAGTCTCTCATCATAAATCTCGATCTCTTCTTCGAGTTTTGTCGCTTTAGATGACGTTTTCAGCTACGCTGAAATTCCTACTTTGGTCGTATCTCGGCGCTTACCGGACGTCGATGGAAAGATGCATTCCGAGAAAGGAATCTTTTTCATTGGCTAGCGGTGCTGCTGGTGCACCCAAGGACGTAAACAGTGCTTAGTCAGACCCAGCGCTAGATCAGGACGTAGCAAGGCATTTCTGCATACATAATGAATAACATGCAGTATGTAGTTCTGATTATGTCAAAATTTAAGGAGCATATTTCTGAAGTTATAGAGCAGGTTCAGGAGCTTCATCGGAGTAGTAATCGTTGTTTCGTCCATGGGTACGGTCGGCCAGTACGAAACACCACCTTATCACCCCAGTACGGTGAACTGTTGACGCTGTTATTGAAATACTAGCTTGGTGTCTGTGCGGAAGCGAATGGTCATCTACCTTTCTGCAAAGGGCCGAATTACACAGTGATGAAAACTATGATTGTTGTTCCCCGAAGAAATCACCGATTTACTACAATGGAGGTAAACTTAGTAACCATCAATCAAAACCGAACAGTTATTGCACTCCGAAAGGGTCTAAAGCCAACATTTTTGTGTTTCTCAGTCTGTCAGAATCACAAGGTCCCCGGGTAAATTTCATTATTAAATGAATAGTTTATTTCATAAGTGATTCCAGGTCGTTTTGTGTGTAGACAGCTATCCGCGTACGATCGACATTCTCAGTCGGACTGTTTCATTTCAAAAGCTGTGGCGTCGTCGGCTACTTCAGTTACCCGCGACATGTTGGTCAGCACATACTGCGCATTCCTGCGTATTGTATGCTGGACGTTTGTCACTACCTGCACAATGACTGACTTTGCATACCAAAAGGCGTTTGTGCCGTCTGAGAATATCCTGAAAGAATCGGTTCGACACCGTTTCAGGAGTCGTCCATGGCTAATGAAAGAACAGCTCGAACAGAGTCTCACGCCATGTGTGGCCAACCGACGGTTAATCGGAATTTCCTTTCGTTCGCCATTATTGACTCATGATACCACCTCGCGGACTCACATTCTAGGCATTTTTTCGGTCGACATTTAGCGAATGCGCCACGGTCAGCAGCCGTGCGTGCGCATCGCCCTACCACAGATGCGGCTAAAATAAGCAGCCCCGTAACTAGCTAATTTCCATTACATTGTTAACTCAGCGATTGCGGAGTCTGTTATGCATAGATGACTACTAAGCTGTCTCGTAATATCAGACTATCGACTTTCATAATTTATTTTTCCTCTCTTCTGGGCCGCTGCAGTTAAAAGCGGTAAAGACGCTTGATATCCGTCAGTCTACTAGGCTTTCGACGACATGCATCGCTTTAGGCGTTCCTCTCATCGTGCTTCATTTTCGCGCTGTC